GGAGCAGTCTACAGGATGTCCCCTAGAGAGTTAGAGGAGTTGCGCAAGCAGTTGGACGAGCTCCTTGAGAAGGGTTGGATTAGGAGTTCATCTCCTTTTGGAGCACCTGTCTTGTTTGTCCCCAAGAAGGAAGGCGAGTTGCACATGTGTATAAACTACAGGGGTCTGAATGCTATCACAGTCCAGAATGTTGAACCACTGCCCAGGATCGACGATCTTTTAGATCGGGTGCAGGGTTGTAAGTATTTCTCCAAGATAGATTTGAAGTCTGGTTATCATCAGATAGAGGTCCATCCTGATGACCAGTACAAGATTGCGTTCCGGACTAGGTACGGGCATTACGAATTTATAGTGATGCCCTTTGGACTGACCAATGTGCCAGCGACATTTCAGCGATGTATGAATGATCTATTCAGGCCTTGGTTAGATAGGTTCGTCGTAGTATATTTAGACGACATCCTAGTTTTCAGTAGGACCCTCCAGGAGCACCAGGGTCATCTGAGGCAGGTCTTGGAGAAGCTCAGAGAAGCTAACTTCAAGATCAACGCGAAGAAGTGCGAGTGGGCCAAGACACAAGTTTTGTACTTGGGCCACGTATTCGACGGGAATGGAATCAAACCTGAGGACACTAAGATAGCGGCAATTAGAGACTGGACGACACCCCGCACATTGACAGAGTTGCGGTCGTTTCAGGGCCTAGCCATTTATTATAGGAAGTTTGTGAGGAACTTCTCTACTATCGCCGTTCCCTTGCGCAGGTTGCTCAAGAAAGAGGCAATCTGGCAATGGGATAAAGACTGTACGTCTGCGCTAAAGAAACTAAAGCGCGCGTTGATAGAGTATCCTGTCCTCAAGGTCGCAGATCCGTCTTTGCCATTTGTCGTCACCACGGACGCGAGTCAGTATGGAATAGGCGCCGTGCTGCAGCAAGATGACGACAATGGCTACAGACCCGTAGAGTTCATGTCAGCGAGGATGCCCTCAGAGAAGGTTGCTACCTCGACGTACTAGAGAGAACTCTACGCTCTCAGGCAGGCTTTAAAGCACTGGAAGCATTACCTGCTTGGGAGGCAGTTCAAAGTGTATTCAGACCACGAAACGCTTAGATGGTTAAAGACACAGGCCAAGATGACACCTAAGTTGACTAGGTGAGCCGCTGATATAGACCAGTATGACTTCGAGCTCAAGCCAATGAAGGGCAAGTAGAATGTAGTTGCGGATGCTCTAAGTAGGAGATCAGACTACTTTGGAGCAATAGTTCACTATCTGGATATAGGGAATGACCTGCATGAGAAGGTTAAACAGGCGTATGCGCATGACCCTATCTATAGTGACCTCCTCAAGAGAGTCAAGGAGACCCCAGCGACTAAGCCAGATTACCGCACTACAGAGGGTTTGTTATTCAAGAAGACTGATGTAGTAGACCGCCTATGTGTTCCCAAGGGTGAGGAGATCCGTAGTGTGATCCTAGGGGAATGCCATGATACAGAGGGATACTTCAGTTGGCAAAAGACTTTAGCCAATCTTATGCACGCTTACACATGGCCAGGAATGTACTTCAGTTGGCAAAAGACTTTAGCCAATCTTATGCACGCTTACACATGGCCAGGAATGAAAAACGACTGCATAGAGTATGTCCGCAGTTGTAAAGTTCGTCAGAGGAACAAGACTACTACGCGTGCCCCTCTAGGTCTTCTCAGACCCTTGCCCATTCCAGACCAGCCTGGAGACTCAGTCTCCATTGACTTCATGGATGCCGGTGTCAAGAGTAGGCACGGCAAGAGCCAAGTCATGGTCGTAGTTGATAGATTTAGCAAGTATGTTATTTTTGTTCCTTTGCCTGCGGAGGCACGCACAGAGTTAGTAATCCAAAAGTTTTTCGATTTTTGGGTTAGTGAACATGGAGTCCCGTTGTCCATTGTTAGCGATAGAGATAGTCGCTTCACCAGCCAGAACTGGCAGGAAATGATGAAAGTTTATGGGTCAAAGTTGATGATGTCGTCTGGCCGCCATCCAGAGACTAACGGTCAGACAGAGCAGATGAACAAGATCCTGCAACAAGTTTTGCGCATGTACATTAGACCCGATCAGACCAACTGGGACAAGATGTTACCCAAGGTAGCCAGTGCATGCAATAACAGCATGCATTTGTCCACATGTTGCACTCCCAACGAGTTGCACAAGTCCTTTAGACCACGTAGACCGTTTGAAGGACTGAACCGGGATTAGATTCACAGGCTACCGTTGGGTACCAGGGAGTTAGCGATACAGCACGAGAAAGAGATAGCGACTGTTGTTGAGAACCTCAGGAAGGCCCAACACCGGATGATAGAACAGGCTAATAAGCACCGTCGCCCATCATAGTTTCAGGTAGGCGACCTGGTCTGTGTCAAATCGAAAGAGTTTGCACCTGAGGAGAACATCTCGCAGAAGTTACTGCCCGCGTATAGAGGACCGTGGCCAGTTCTAGAAGTAAAGGGCGGAGAGGATGGGTCGTCCTACACAATAGCGATACCAACACACCTCCACACCTACCCAGTCTTTCACGCATCAAAGTTGCTTCCGTGTGTCACAAGTCAACAGTTTCCATCTAGACGCTCCATGATCCCTCCAGACATGGACGGAAGATATGACATTGACGGCATTGTAGGTGAAGATGTGTTTAGAACAGGAGGTAGAGGTCGTCCGCAAAAGCAGTATAAAGTCTGGTTTGCATATCAGGAACCGGAAGATGACCGCTGGTTCACCAGATCAGAACTTCTAGAAACAGCTCCTGATATAGTTAGAGCCTACGAGAGAGATCAGAGAGGCAAAGGTCCTACCTTGGACTGAGTTATTCTCGGAGGACTGCGAATTTAGGCGGGAGTGAAACGGTATTCACCAGTTTGCAGTAGCTGATGCAGATCCCAGGGCTCGATCCCTAGTCCCAACCTTACCCGTGTACAGTACCTGTGTCGCCCGGTAGAGTTGAACCCGCGACCTGTGTATTTTTAACAGTTCATAGGTTGTCATAGGGTCCATAGGTAGCAGGGGTTCGATCTGTAGACCTGTCGGATAGGAGTCCCAGTCAGGTCTAAAGGTCGTAGCTGTAGCCTTCTCGAAGAGTCAGGGTCGTAGCTGCTACAGTCCGGAAGGGTCAAAGTCGTAGCTGCTACAGTACCGAAAGGCCAAGTCCACAGCCTTCCGGAAGGTCCGAGTAGTGGCCTTTCGGAGTGTCCCACACTTGAATTGAGGCAAGCGCGCAAGTGGCGAGGCTAGTGGTGGAGTTTGCCCATGCAGAGTCAGCAGTCCCAGTCCTAGGCAGTCCGGTCCAGTCAAGCAAGTACCGCATGGGACTGTGTACACATCGGGCCTGGAAAAGGGGCCAGACCAACGCACTGCAGAAGTATAAATCAAGAGGCAGCGCCCAGCCATTCATTCATTCCTGTGTGAGCCATGCGGAAGCGCTGCCACAGCGACTTGTGCAAGGAGGTCTGCAGTGAGCCCGAGGACGAAGTGGGCAAGAGAGACGAAGCTTAGTCATAGCGATAGGGTAGAGGCGGCCATAGCCGCCATAGCTGTAGTTGGTGTTCAGCGTGTGAGTGTGTGAGAGTGAGTAGAGTGTTGTGCGTGGGATATCCAGGGTGATCCAGGGCATGCGAACAGAGAGTTGTATGGGCGCTGTGACGCCATAGCCATTGGAAGTGAACTCATATTCGGGTTGCCATATCTCTGAGTACTGAGTGGGTGCATGTCGCCAGTTTGCCGCGCATGTTTGCATGCATCTAAAGTGTGAATGAAAGCGAGTCTGATTGCACAAATTATAAAATTAAAAAAAAAACTTTTTGGTTTTCGTGCAAAGCCTGCCATGCAAGCAATGGTGCTCGACGAGTGATTATAGTAGAATTGCTGTGGAGGCGGGTTGTTACCCTTTTTGATGTGTGGTAGATTGTTAATTGTGGATTAGCGAGCATTTATGTTATTGTGCCGGAATCTCTACGGTGGCGGATTTCGATTGTGGTTGGGTGATTGTTTAGGTTGCTGTGTTTGCTGATTGTTTAGGTTACTTTGTGTGGAATCTAACTATGGTTGTCAAGTAATTGCAGGATAGCAGTCAGATTATTTCTGTAATTAGGAGATTAGTTCAAGGAAAATGAGCGATTGCGAACTTAAAAAACCAAGCAGCATCATACACATGAGACCAGATAGTCGTGACCTCGAACCAAAAGCAGAATTGCAACACGAGTTCCACCAAATAAGAGCACAGCAAAAGCTCATAAGTGACAATGTTCGAATAGTCTCATCATCATCAACAAGGAACCAATGTCGACATCCTATCTGGCGCTCTGCACCCAGACTACAAATGGTAGATCCTATCTAGCCTATCTACAATGCCGCTGGTGACGTCAACAGCTCCCCGACGTACGAGCAGATCTCGGCCAATGTCGTTCACCTCAAGCACCAGGTATGTCTCTTGTATCACTCACAACCTCGATCCCCCACTCACAGATGCCACTTGCACCCAAGGACCACCATGCGCCCCATCCAGCATACAGCAGCGCGACTCGGCTATGGCTGCCTGCTCATCCAGCTCGCCCGTGAGCGCGTGAGCGCTGGCCAGCGTATAGCGCAGCAGCGCTTGCGCAGCATGCAGCCAGTGCCTGAATGAGGAATCCGAGGGCAGGCACTTTCCTAAATGGAAGTGGCCTGCCTGTGCGCCCTGGCTGCACCAGGCCCTGTCCCAGAAGCTTCCGGTAGGCCCCGGAAGGCTGAGCCCCAGTCTGAACGAATTAGGCCCAGGGCCTGTGACAGTTACCCGTGCCCAACTGCCCGTAGCCTGAGTTGGGTCCTTGTTGCGTATCTCGCCCAGGGCCTTACTCAGATACATTTGATAAAAGTAGCGAGGGCCTGGGCGCTTTCAACCAACTGGCGCTGCACAACTGCCTGAATTTCCCCAGTAGCGTGGATACCCCAAAGTAGACCGTGGTCGGGCCTGCCTTCACTTAGGGCAGCCGACTGTACTGAAAAGAGGGCCCAGTAGGGCTTATCGAGGCCTTGAGCCTCGCATTCCCTCCTCCATACTTCGACAGTCCTTTGAGAAGTTCCATTAGTCAATCTGGCGCTTTCCTTTCTGCAGCAACTTCTCGTAGTGGGCGACAACCTGTGGGGCGGTCTGCATCAGTTCCTCACGAGTAAACCATCTATCCTCCTTTGGATCAGTATGATGTCTGAACCGAACGCGGTATTGCAGCTTCCGCTTTGGAGGACGTCCTCTACCTGAAGGTCTTGGAACTGGCATTTCTCTGTGGTCCACGATGTCATCGACGTCGACCTCTCCATCCATGGTTGGGGGCAGCATTGAGCGTCGTGAGGGAAACTGATCAGTTTCTTCGAAAGGTGCAAGCTCGGAGGCGTGAAAGACAGGGTAAGTGCGAAGGTGACCAGGAATCCGAACTACATATGATGGCCCGTCCGGATCATCCCCAACAATATCCAGAACCTCCCAGGGTCCGAAGTACTGTGGCATGAGCTTACGGGATATCCCGTGCTCTTGTCCCAGTTCTGAGGACTTGACCCAGACTCTGTCCCCTGCTTGGAATGTAGATGGGCGGCGGACTCTATCATCGCCGCTTGTGCCCTGCGCATCTGTTCTACCGCTTGCTGCATCAACTGTTCATATCGATATGCAAATTCTAGGGTACCAGGTGCAGCTGTCGGCTGATTCTCAGGTAGTAGGAAGTCTAAAGGCAGTCTAGGCTTGAATGTCAGTAGCAGGCTGTTTGGACTCACCCCTGTTGCGTTGTGCACAGCATTGTTGTACAGGGTGGCAATGACAGCCAGTTTCTCATCCCAGCCCACCTGGTTGGGCTTAATGTAGTGCCTCAACAGATGTTGTACAGCGTGATTCAGCTGCTCTGCTTGCCCGTTTGCCTCTGGGTGGTTCCCGGAGGTCATCTGCAGCTGTGTACCCTGTTCTGCAGCTGCAGCCTTCCACAGTTCTCTAGTAAATCGCACGTCCCGGTCACTCACAATAGACTTTGGCAATCCAAAATCCCTGACCCAGTTTTCCTCGAACAACTTGATTACGTACTCAGTCTTGGCTGTTGCAGGCATTACGACTAACCTAGCATACTTACTAAGCTAATCCACAATGACATAGACATACCGCATTCCACTCTTGCTGGTGACCAGCGTGTCCATGAAGTCCATGGACAGGCTCTCACCGAGCCTTTCTGGTATCGGAAGGGGCTTGAGAAGCCCAAGAGGGGCCTGTGTACATGGCTTGTCTCTCTGACATACCTGACAAGTTTCCACGTACAGCTTGACGTCTCTCATCATTGTGGGCCACCAGAAGTGCTGCAGCAAGTTGGCTGCAGTCTTTTTATAGCCAAAATGTCATGTGACATCGTGACACTCACCTAAAAATAAACTACGCAAAGACTCCCGATTAGGCACACACAAACGTTTATTCCCGTCCTTCTCAAGGGACAGCAGGTCGTTGACCAACTCAAACTCGGCAGAAGTCGCTTTGTCTTTCGCCTCAAGTCTGTGTATGATCTCAGCCATAAACGGATCCTCGTGATAGGCTTCCACTAGAGAACTAGTGACATCGTCCGCAAGCCCAAACTCAGTTATCAGCGCACTGAGGAAGTCTGGCCTACGCGACAGCGCATCAACAACTCTGTTGTACTCTCCTTTGATGTACTGAGGCTCGAAGTCATACTGTTTAATGACTTCGATCCATCTTTTCAACGCGTCAGAGAGCACTGGCTAGGTTCTCATCCACTTCTGGGTCTTGTGATCAGTCCTAACGTAGAAGAACCTCCCAAGGAGGTAGTGCATCCAGTGGGTTAGCGCCTTACACATCGCATAGAGCTCCTTCTCATAGGTGGACTTACCCAACTTCTGAGAGGGCATCTTTTTAGACATGTACTCGACACGCCTCAACTTTGGCCCCTCCTGCTGTGCGGGCACGGCGCCTATGCCATATTGGCTAGCATCCGTGGTTACTATAAACGGCTTGTCAGGATCAGGAAGCTTCAAGACCTCATGGTGCATCAGCGCATGCTTCAGATGTCTGAAGGCAGCCTCACACCCGCCTGTCCACTCCCATGGGGTGTCAAGGCGAGTCAGGTCCGTCAAAGGGGCGGCCACTATGCTATAGTTCTTGACAAAATTGTGGTAGTAGTCGGTCATCCCTAAGAAGGACCTCATCTCAGTCATAGACTGAGGACGCGGCCAGTCACGAATGCTGGCCACCTTTGCGTCATCGGGCTTCAATCCCTCCGCGAAAATCTCATGACCCAAGTACAAGATACGGGTGCGGCCAAACTCGCATTTTTCGCCGTTGATCTTGATTTGGTGTTGTCGAAGGAGACTAAGGACTCTGTCTAAATGACCAACATGCTACTCGACAGTCCTACTAAAGATAAGTATACCATCGAGGTAAACGATGACAAACTTGTCCAAGGAATCGTGAAAAATCCTATTCATGGCGTGCTGAAAGGTGCCAGGAGCATTGCAAAGGCCGAAAGGCATCACCACAAACTCGTACAGACCCCATCTGGTATGAAAAGCGGTTTTGTGTTGATCCTCCGAGCGTATTGCAATCTGATGGTACCCGGACTTCAGATCTATCTTACTTAAGTACCGGCACCCTTGCACTCGGTCCAACAAGTCATCGATGCGCGGTAGGAGCTCTCTGTTCTTGGCGGTGATGGCATTGAGACCCCTATAGTCAACGCACATCCTCGAAGTCCCCCCCTTCTTTGGTACAAATAGGACTCGAGATCCATAAGGGGAGACACTCGACCGGATCCAACCCTTCTCTACGAGTTCCTTGAGCTGTCGGCGAAGCTCATCAAGCTCGCCTGGAGGCATCCGATAGAACCTACCCTTCGGAATGCTGGACCCTGGGATAATCTCTATCGCATGGACGACCTCCCTCTCAACAACCCCTTTTGGCTCTTCGATTAGATCAGGGTACTTAGTGACTACTCCCTCTATTTCTAGCGGCATCAGACTACTAGCCTTGAACTTACGTAATTTGGCGGTCACTCCACTAAGCAAAGTGTGCTTGACCACTTTTCGGTCTCAGTCAAACTAGGGTTGTGCAACCGAAAGATAGTACATACCCAACAGGATGTCCATTGGGAGATCATCGGTGACTGGGAACGAGACGCAATGTCTCAGTTCCCCTCCCGTGTACAGGAAACAACACTCATCATCTTTAAGGTAGTCATTAACTACCATGCGTTGTTGTTGGCACATGTCGACTCCACAGGCCGACTCAGGCGCTGCACTTGCCCTTGTAAGTGCAATCTCTCAACGCACGCGCAACTGATAAAATTCCGCGTCGAGCAAGTGTCATAATACCTTGCCGGTGATGACTACCTCGCCGACGAACATCGCACTCTTAGGGGCTTTAGCCAATGCCGTCCAAGAAGCTAGTGGGTCTGATCTAAACCACTCCTCCTCTAGCTCCTCTAAGGACTCAAGCACATTCATCGAACAGAGGCTCGATGGGTCTGAATGTGTTTGCAAGACGATAACGGAGTCAGTAGCTTGGGCCATCTCTCGAGATGGTGAGGATGTTTCCACCACCTCGACCCTAGCAGGAACAACTACTATTCCTACTGGCCCGACGTGTTTCCCGGAGTTGTGCCAGAACTGTTGGCGACATTGCTGCCAACGGAAGCGGAGGACCCCATCGCCTGCCCCATTGTAGGCGGGATCTTCTCGGTCACCTTCTTCTTGCGGCACTTGAACTGGTTATGGCCATATTGACCACAACGAATACAGGTCTGCCTGGTGTACCGGTCTCTCCACACGTCCTCTGTGAGACCCGCTTTCTCCCATGGAGGAGCGTTGGGGTCAACTTGACTCCTAGACCGGGAGCCTTCACGACATCTACCGATCGCCTCGCCTTTTTGGACTGAGGCAGTGACTACTCCACCCCCTGAAGTTTCTACGCTGCCCACCTCTGAACCTACTCCTTCCTGGAAGTCGTCGTCCAACTCAATGGTGGAGCCATCGTTGTCGACGAACATAATACGGCCCTTCGCCTTCCAATTGGGAGGCAGTGACTTCTTCCGTCCATCCGTCGTGGGTTGGTGCCCATGCCCTATCTTCGCATCTAGGTCTAGGGCCTTCTTGCTAAACGAGGGAAAGTAGTGCACATTGATGTTTGCCTCGCCCGCCAACTGATTCTTGAGTTTCATAGGAAGACATCTCAGGTAGGTGGTTAGCAAGACCTGGGGTTCGTAGCGCACTCCAGGTACACAGATCAAACGCTCTACAGCGTCTGTGGCGTCCCTCACTGACTTGAACGGTCTGTTGCTCAAAGTCAGGATCGCATCAGTGGCCTTTTGGGCCTCCTGAGGATCATGCCATCTTTCCTCCACCAACTTCAGGAAGTCTTCCAGTTTCTGGTTAACTGCCCGAGCGCGAAAGTCATGATCGTACCCCTGAAGTTGCACTAGCCCACTCAACAATCTTGCTGCACTCCCCTCAAGGTAGGAGGCAGCCACAAGCACTTCCTCGTGTGGCAAGGTCAACTTGCACTTAACGTAGACCTGCACTGTCCTCAACCATGTGTCGAGGTCTTCGCCCCTCTTGTCCCCTGAAAAGGGTTTGGGTGAGGCAATGGCCGTCTTTGGAACCCACTGTGTTTGTCCCGGTACCTGCCCCACTCCGGGTTGTGGACCCTGGGGTGCAGGCTGCTGCTCTAACGACTGTTGGGGCTGTGTGCCCAGCTATTGTGCTGGCTGCGAGACAACAGGCTGCCTAGTCACGGCAACCTGCGCCGGAGGTTGGGAATACATTGTCTGTACACGAATCTGTACACTAGGACCTGCTGAGAACCCTCCTGTCAAAGGCATTCCTAGGGAAGCGGCCTGTACCGATGTTGGAGCTATGTATGGGGATACCCCAGTCACCGGTGGGACAGGAGGAGGAGGTTGTACCACGGGCCAGGCACCGGGCCCTTATGGTGACGGTGTCGCCTGCTCTCGCCCAACCAGCACGGCCAGGCTCCGCTGGATGTCCTGTAAGAGCGCCATTTGGTGATCCTGCATCTCTACCACATCTAGCAAGACCGTCCTCAGGGTCCTCACATTAGCATCCATGTTCGCCAGGTCCATCTTCTCTAACTCACTAATGTCCGCTTGTCTCCACTGCATCCTTGCTCTTCTCCTAATCATTCTCTGTTTCTCTGCCTTTATCTCCCCTAAAGCTTTCTGTAGCTGTGCCTCCTGAGCATCTGCTTGTCGTATGGCGATCTCTTCGGGAGTCAGAACTAACGGCTGACTTGCCATGATGCAAGTGGATTGACTCAGGGTCTCTGTGACCATTGACCCAACAATCCCTGAACTACTAGCCTGAGAGCTCTGCTGCGCAGCAGTTGCCATGGCTGCTGAAGTAGCGGCCTCGCTTGCGAATGCCCTGCTTGCCTCTACGGCCCTAGCTCTTCGCTGCTGCTGCTGCCTCTCTCTTTGCTGGCAGCCCTCTGGTCCTAAGGCCAAGTGGGCTATTGGGTGCCTCGCTGATCGCAGGATCCTGTCGTCCTCTCTAGTTTCCTCCCTGTCGCTCATAAGCTACAAAACTAGACACAATCTGCACTAGGTCACTCACTCGATGCCTACCGCAGCGTCATGCACAGACCGATTTATAAATAAATAAATTAATTAACCGGTGGCTATTTCAGAGTCTACACATTCGGGTCCAACAGGTAAGTTCAGATTCCTACAAATGAAACTATTTTTACTTAATTAGTCCATGAACAGAGCAAATTTCTATCTAATGCTGTCTATCAGATGTCAATGGCAGTCCATCTAACTAATCAAAATAAAAATAGAATCATCTATGTGGATATTTGCAGAGTGGAATTGAACACGGACTTATCACCTAGAATCTACCCCTCCCTCAATTCCTCTTGATGGTCACTTGACGTCAGCGTCCCTGAGCGATCCAGAACAGCGTGCGTGTCTAAAGGTGTGCACACGGCCCACCCCTGTGCCCCGAGTCCTGCTGAGCTGGCCAGCCCTGCACAATGTTTACCCTCGAGTGCAGCGAGCCTTACACCGACCGATTGGCTGATCAAGAGGCGTTTTAGGACGGCCCCCGAAGTCCTCAGGAATTATTAAACGTCGCAGACTGGACGACGATCACATCCAATGGAAGGTCCCCGCCGGTACTTAGTTATAGACGTCCGGTACTCGTCTTTCCCGTAGGGCTGGCCTGCCCCTCAGAACCCATCTAAAAGCGCAGCAGGCAGACAAGGACAAAGCAGCAAAGCATGCGTGCTCTACTCCCGGTGGGTTGGCATGGTGACCGTGACCCAGTGCTTCCTCCAAGGCCCTTCAGATAGCTCGCCCTCTCCCTTCAGATGCTCCACGTGGACAATGCCGACTCTCAAGGTTGAGCACACTCGACTCCTCACATGAGAGGACTCTCAAGACATAACACACATCCTCACGGTAAGAAGTGTCGAAGAGGGTGGATAACGTTAAGTGCAACGTACCTCAAAATAACTGCCCCCAACCACAAATATTCTCACCAGATGACCTGATGCCGGCTGTGATGACCAATCGCTGCTTCGGCACAACCAGCATTACACCGCCGTTCGACCTCAGCATCAATCGCACATCAGATAGTTCTCATCACACTGCGAACACCAATCATGCACCTCGTACCCTTCCTGGCGATACCCCTCACCTCCTGCATCGCCCTACTTGCCTTCGCCCTCCTCACTACACACTCCCTATGGCCGCTCGCCCAGCAGACCGCATGCATGTACCGCATAGGCAGAAGACACGTGCCAGACTAGCGCACCGTACCACAGCTCCGATACCAAATTGCAAGGAAAATGAGCGATAGCGAACTTCAAAAACCAAGCAGCATCATACACATGAGACCAGATAGTCGTGACCTCGAACCAAAAGCAGAATTGCAACACGAGTCCCACCAAATAAGAGCACAGCAAAAGCTCATAAGTGAGAATGTTCGAATAGTCTCATCATCATCAACAAAGAACCAACGTCGACATCATATCTGGCGCTCTGCGCCCAGACTACAAATGACAGATCCTATCTAGCCTATCTACAATGCCGCTGGTGATGTCAACAGCTCCCCGAAGTACGAGCAGATCTTGGCCAATGCCGTTCGCCTCAAGCACCAGGTATGTCTCTCGTATCACTCACAACCTCGATCCCCCACTCACAGATGCCACTTGCACCCAAGGACCACCATGCGCCCCATCCAGCATACAGCAGCGCGACTCGGCTATGGCTGCCTGCTCATCCAGCTCGCCCGTGAGCGCATGAGCACTGACCAGCGTATAGCGCAGCAGCGCTTGCGCAGCATGCAGCCAGTGCCCAAATGAAGAATCCGGGGGCGGGCACTTTCCTAGATGGAAGTGGCCTGACTGCTGTGCGCCCTGGCCGCACCGGGCCCTGTCCCAGAAGCTTCCGGTAGGCCCCAGAAGGCTGAGCCCCAGTCTGAACGAATCAGGCCCAGGGCCTGTGACAGTTACCCGTGCCCAACTGCCCGTAGCCTGAGTTGGGTCCTTGTTGCGTATCTCGCCCAGGGCCTGACTCAGATACATTTGATAAAAGTAGCGAGGGCCTGGGCACTTTCAACCAACTGGCGCTGCGCAACTGCCTGAATTTCCCCAGTAGCGTGGAGACCCCAAAATAGACCGTGGTCGGGCCTGCCTTCACTTAGGGCGGCCAACTGTACTGAAAAGAGGGCCCAGTAGGGCTTATCGAGGCCTTGAGCCTCGCATTAGGTTTTTCTTATACTGACCGTTAGAGGAGCGTCTTCGTTGTGTGAGCTTTGAAAGATCTTGATGTGCCATGGTCAGAGTCAAGCTTGGCCGGAGTGTCTCGCTTTGCTTGAGTGGCCATGGCAAACCATGTACGGGACACTGGGCCTGATTCCCAGCTATATGAATATACAGCTAAGCTGGGTAGTGCTCCCGGTCCCATTAAAAAAAAAAAGGAAAAAAAGAAAAAGGAAGTCTGTGCAATCGGCTTCTCAGAAAAGGAGGCCTGCTTGAGCCCAGTTGTATTCTTCCCCCCTCCTCCTACTAGCCCACCCCCGACCCTTCTTCTTCATGGTGCGTTGACGGCTGTGAGTTTCGGGAAAGGGGGGTGGGACTGCTGGTTTAAGCATAATCTCCAATTGTCTTTATCAACACCAAATAAGTTTACTGACCCTTTCTTGTCAAACTTTTGACTTTTTTGGAATGAGAATGGCTGTCCCTTTCTCAGCTTCCTCCGGTATCAGTGACCCTTTGTTGACATCGTCTTAGACTCTCCACCCAGCTTCATGGTCAAAACTGTCTTGAGTCTCTTGTGTTCATTTGAATTCGTAATATGAGTTTCTTGTTCTTTTCTCTCTCATTTCTCAACCCAACGGTTTCTCTTTTTTCCATGGCTACTATCCGGACGTCCGGACCGCCGTCCAGACGGTCCGGATTTGGTCCGGAATCCGGACGTCCGGTCCAGATGGTCCGGATCTGCCAAATTTCGAGAAAAAAAAAACAAAAAAAAAGGGTCCAGGACCCTTCCCCATTGAGGAGCCAAGCCYCCAAAATTGTTTTGAGGGTTTTTCAGGCCCGTTTATGCTTTTTTGGGGGGTCCGGACATGCTCTCTCTATATAATAATTTATTAGACAACCCCAAGTTTTTTATTATGAATAATTCATTACCTTTTATTAGTTTTCTTAACTTTTTTAAGTCTTTTTTTAAGCTTTTTATAGTTTTTGACTTTTAACTCAAGTTTGGTTAGGAATTCTGACATGACTCTGAGGCAAAAGTGGTTTGCATTGTTATTCTGCATAACATACTTGTTTTTCAGATTTTTTTTTTTTTTTCTTTAATGGTCCGGACATTTTCCGGACCTGTCCAGACATCCGGACCGTCCGGACCCCCCCCATGTCCGGAGGTCCGAACATGTCCAGAATTCCGGACGTCCGGAAACTACCGGACACGGGGCCGGTTCCATGTCCGGAAATGTCCGGGTCCGGGTCCGGCGTAGCCATGCTTTTTTCCAATAAGAAAAGAAAGTTAGGGAAACTTCAAAGCCCAGTGAGGGATGGCATGTCTTCACGTTGGATGACAGCGAGGGTTCACCTTTCTAGTAGCTGGGATATGACAGTCATGTCCAGAATACTAAAGATAACTTTGGCTCCTGTGCTTGGGAGGACTTGGAGCTACTAACAGAAGCTGTGCAGGTGAAGTATGCAGGTGAGAGGGTAGCAGAAAACCAATGGACAAGAGAGCAGAATGAGCTCACCTGGTGCAGTGGGTAGGCAAGAGGGTAGAGGAAAGGCAATAGACAAGAGAGGAGAATGACCCCCCCTGGTGTAGTACATAGGCAAGAGGGTAGGGGAGATGCAGAGGATAGAGGAAATGCAGTAGACAATAGAGCAGAATGAACTCACCTGGTGTAGCAGGTAGGCAAGATGGTAGAGTAAAGGCATTAGACAAACGAGCAGAACGGACTCACCTGCTGTAGTGGACAGGCAAGAGGGTAAAGTAAGGGCCACAGCGACGAGAGCAGAATGAACTTACCTGCTGTGGTAGGTAGGCACGAGGGTGGAAGAAAGGCAATGGACGAGGGAGCAGCGTCAACCCACCTGCTTAACCCGTGCCATGTCAAACCCAGAGTCGATGAGAATTGCCCCAGCAATAGCCTCAACAATATCACCAAGGACTTTTGGACCTTGTACGCTCCATAACAGGAGCTGTAAAGATGCAAGTGATGAATCTTGTTGCTTGTCGATTTCAGCACACAAATCCTTGACATAAGTTTGGATCTCTTCCTGCAGTGCTTTGGAGTCAGTTCTCAGGAATCTCCAGAGTTGTCGCTGAACTGCAATCCTCGCAAAGTTCTGTTTCCTGACACACATAGATCGTGCAGCCGTCAGCTTGTCTGGGACGAATCCCGGGTAGTTACTGTACAAATGTTCAGCAACAACAAGATCCAACACTGCATCACCAATGAACTCCATCCGCTGATAGCACCGTTGCTCATGTCCAGTGTGAGTCAGTGCGTTGACTAACAAGTTTGCATTCTTGAACTTGTACGTGAGAGTGTTCTCTATCTCGGCCAGGTTGAAAGTGGGAGGAACTTCAACCTCTGCACTCTCCCTTTCCACCGCAATTGCCTTTGTTTGCTCGCTGATTCCAGCTGGGATTCCAAACCACTCAAGGAGATGCTTACATGCAGATTCTCCCCCCGTTAGGTAAAACATTGCTGCCAATGCCTCAACTGCATCAGCCAGGGTTTTGTACTTTATCAATCTCTTCCCATCCTGTAACCTGAGGCCTCTTTCGTCTGCTTCATCCTCTGCAGGCATGCCTATGTTTCCGTCCTCTCTCTCCAAGATGAGGCCTTGGGATACCCCTCTGCCTTCTGACTTTGGTTCCACAGGGGATATAGTACCAATGCTTGTCACTGCACTTTCTGTCCTTGATCCCTCTCTGTTGATTTCACTGACAGGTGGCACTAGCCCTTCTGAGTTTGGTTCCTCTTTGTACATCGAACTGATGTCTGGCACTGCACCTCCTGACTTCAGTTCCTCTTGGTTGATCGTCGAGTTTGGCACTCCACGTTCTAATTCAGCCCTCCACTTGTCAATCATACTGATGGTAGCCACATGCTTAACGTCATCACCAATCTTGTCATGCGGCATCAGACTGTCAGCATTGTCACTGCCAGAAGCATCATCACCTAAAGAGTTCTTCACAGAAGAAAACACAGCCTCCTCATTCTCCCACCAGAACCGTTGCTTTTGATATATTTCTTTGAATGGAACACCTGACAATTCGCTAAAGCAAGCAGGGCTGAGCCTCTCACAAATCATGAAGCGGTCCAAGTTCTTGACTGCTGCTTTCTTGAACAATGAGTTGTTGCTAACAAGCTCCTCCCGCAGGAATGACATTTCTCCTTCCCGCATCATTGGATGTTGAACGAAAATGTGCATGGTGACAAAGAATTTCAGAAGAGCATCACCCAAGAACTCATCTCTCTCATAATTCACAACTTCTTCAGTGATAGCTGGTGTCAATGCCTCTCGAACCTGCAGGCACAAAAGGACAAAGACCTTCAACATACCATCATGCCACAGAAACTTCCCTACATTTTGCAGATGCCTCATTGGAAAGGGTAAATGTACTCACTCCCGCTATGTTGCAGGCTCCAGGTTCCTTCGTGACCATGTTCGCAAAGAATCCAACCCATGGTAGGGCCTGGGTGCTCCATCTAAGGACAATTGTTTTTGTCCTTTTCAGCCCAGGGTAGAACCTTTACCCTACACATTGGCCAGAGAGATCACATCAGACTCTAAACAACTGTAGGTCCCAGTTTAGAGCATATAACGGAGCAGATTGCAGGCTGTTTTCCTGGGCGCCCGGGCACCCAACTTATGCCCGGGTACAGGCCGGCTGGGTGCCCGGCTGGGCATGACCCCCAGGCAGGGTTCACAAGAGCATGTTGTGTAGAATTGCAATACAAAGATACAAACGACTTTTGGTTGGGGGTCACATTAGAATTCCTCACAGAATTGGAGATAGAAAAGAAAATAACAGAATCACACAAAGGCCTGTCTCTTATACACATCTAGATGTGTATAAGAGACAGCTCTCAGAGAGCACGGAAAAACCCCACCGCCATTTAAAAAAAAAAAAAATCCCATGCCTGGGTATCCCGGGTGTCACGCCCGGGTGCCCGGCCGGGCGTGAGAAACTTCCTGGGTAGATTGCACAATTCTGATCTTTCTTCTTTTCCCTGAGGATGCACCAGACACTTCGTCCTGCTTTATTTGTCACTATGATTAACCTCGCTGTCCTAGTCTTTTAACCTGTCCTCAGGGTCCCTTCAGTCAGTTTGTCCTGTTCAACTGTTTTTTTAGCAGTTCCTAGACATGATGGTGTCTGCTTGGACATGCCTTTTCCGCATTTTTCTCATCGAGAGCTGTCTTGATCAGTATTCCGGGAAGGCAGGTTCAGTGCAGGACTCCCTTGTGTCTTGCAAAGAGTCTGAAATCCACGCCAGGTCGCACCCGGCAACTTGGCTGCTGGACATGGACAATATCTCTCCCCTGTTCTCCTATGATCTGTTTTTAGTTGGCAGCCAAGGTGGAAGACATTTGGCGTGGAGACACTGTGGAGTTCTGCACGATCACACTGGGGGAAGGTGGAATATCGCAGCATGTGTCCTCGTGAATTTAAGGACTGTATCACTAACGAAACAAAAATGTTGACTAGTCGTAAAAGGTTTCCTCAAGCCGTGTCAGGAGTGAATCCTAAAACATCCAATGCGATCTGATACTCCGCCGTTTCTTTGATTTGCGCCTCGAGTCACTCCCAAAATGTACAATGTGATTTTTTTTTTTTTTTTTTTTTTTTTTTTAAAAGGCCCTTATGGTCCTGGCTCCATTTCCATTCTGGGGAGCATCAGTCCGGTTCCTATTCCACTGGCAAGTCATAATAAAAGATACATCATAAATACTCACTCACGCTTCCTTCCGTCTGGCCGAAGGACCCCTGACCAGCATTGATTGCTCCACCATCATGGAGGATTGACTGTCAGCTTGCCCTGCTTCATCCTTTCCTCTCAGGTGAAATGCTATAACCCGTCATATAAAACATTAACTAACGAGAAAGGTCATAGCAGGTAGCAACGCCGCCTGTTTTGTCTAAACTGTAAGCCCCCTAAATGAAGCACATCAAAATTTTGCTGTTCTGAACCCTATTTGCCCCTTTTTCGTTTCCCTTTCATCTCCTCCTTGGCTGGCCTCACTTTAATTCTTATGGCAGCCTAAGTTCCTGTGTCAACCGCTGATCATCTATAGTGTCATCCTGGTGCTCCTCTTTGAACCAATGGAAGATAAGTCTTTCTCCTTCAACGATCGCGACTTTGCCTTGGGCTAATACTCTCTTGTGGAATTTGGAGAAAGTATCCTTTGCCCTTTCTGGGTTAAGCGCCAGTTGCTTCTTTGTTCTTCTCCATAACGCCCTAATCTCTGTCTCCAACAGGTTATAGAGAATTGCCTTGGCTTCCCCTCTGGTCATCAGATTCTTACCCACAACCTGCTGACATCTTCATTTCCAGATTGTCCATAGCGTGTACTGTCTCAGAAGTTGAAAGATATATTTATGGCCTGCCCGCCATCCCTTAGGCACCACACTTCCTAAGAATATTAATTTTCTGTTACGTGGGAATGGGACCTCCGTAGTTTGTGTCCATAATGCACGGGCTATGGACCAGAGATATTCTGCTTCCGGGCGATGGAGCAAGCAATGGATCAGAGTTTCCGATACCCCTCCCGTACACATAATACAGTCTTGATCTGCCTCATTCCTATTGATCCTGTTCCCCATCATTGAACAACCAGACATTGACTGGGAGTGCTACGTGAAAGATGAGCCATTGCATACTCCAGACCTTGGGCAGTCTGATACTGTGCAAAGATGACCATGGTAACCTTTCTACCTGATCCCTTGGTATATCCATTCTCTTATCCCATCTTCTCGCCAAAATCTGATCCAAATGGCATGATCTCCCCCTCAGACGGTAACCCACTTTAGTAGTGTACCAAAGTAATTCTCCTGCTTACTCTTGACGAACGTCCCCTGATGTTCCATGCCCACTCTGCTGGATCAATTTCCAGATCCCGAATGGATGTCAGTGGCTCAAATATCGTAAAATCTTCATTCTCAACCACTCTGATCTTTCTTAAGATGCTTTTCTTGATGACTATTGGAGCCCGCGATTCCCTATCCAGATTACTGACCGTGACTCCTGGAGAAAGTATCGAGTACATATCTGCTTCCACCCACCGGTTAAAAGGTCCGACCTCCTGTCGTATACAAAAAACTGCCTCTGGTTCATTGGTAGAGGTTATTGTTTCCCAATCCCCCCTTCCCCATTTGTCCGGTTGCTTCAATATCCTTGTCCACTCATCCGGGATCAAGATGAGAATGTCATTCAGGTTTTCCGTTAGTCTGTGACATCCTTTCATTTCCTTTCTCAGCTCCCTACCCGTTTTCCATCCCTCCTTGTTGTCTGACCAGAGATGTTTTACCTGCCATACACCATGTTCTAACCACTTCCCCCATTTGGCGTCTTTTGCTGTTAGTGTTCTTGGCCTTCCCTGAGAGTCTTTTAACCATGGATTAGAAACTAGCGGTTGTCTAAGCACCTCATCCTTCGTTTTCGGTTTTCTTACTCTAGCCGGAAAGACCTCCGCCCATATTTTGAACAATTGAGCCCAATATGTACCCCTAGTTACTCCCTCTTCTACTACTTGATCCCCAACTCTATCCTTCTTAGTCCAACCCTTGCAGAATAACCAGAATGTACCCTTCATATTGGAGGGCGTTTTATATCTTGCCATCTGACGTATGTGATCGAGCACCAATGGGACCCACCGAAGGTGAGGCTGTGTTAACAACTTAATGATCCACTTGGTTTGGAGTGCCCTTATCTGTTGTCCTGGATCCAAGACTCCCAACCCTCCCTTATCCTTTGGTTGTATAACTTGGTTCCATGCTACCTTTGATATAAAGTTGGATCTTGTTGGGCTTGTTGTCCACAAATATGTTGCCGCCACCTTCCTCAACTTTTGTAGTGTATTAGCAAGTGGTGACCATATCGCTCCCACGTACCATAACATAGAGAAGATGGAAGCATTTATGACTAGTGCCCTCCCGAACAGTGAGGTATGTCTTTCCGACCACGTCGCCAACTTTAATAGCATTTTTGTCATCTGTTCTGGGGCCATGGAATGATGGGGACCCTCACCCGCCATTCTGATACCCAAGTATCTCATTGTCTGATCCCGCGGTAACCACGTCATCCCCCCATAATTTTGTGGTTGATACTGTGGCTGCTGGTCCTCACGTGATAGCCACCACCCTAGGGTCGTCTGCCAGTTGATTCTCATCTCCGATGCGAGCTGAAATGCCGCCATTGCTCTCGTAAGGGCTTGGAATGAAGAGCCTGTTGCTCTGATTAATACCGTCAGATCGTCCGCAAATAATATCGTCGTCGGTAAATGTGTGACTCGTCCCTGGTAATCTGGTTCAGCAATAACACGGTCTATCGAAGGATCTTTCCTGAGGAATGAGGCAATAGCTTTCATTATAAACAAGAAAATAGGAGCCGCTAAAGGGTCCCCTTGCCTCACTGACCTTGTCATTTTATACCGATGTGACAGGTGGCCATTAACTTGAACCTGCCCGTTTGCATCATTGTAAAGTACACGTATCCATTTACGAAAGTTAGGACCCACTCCCATCTTCTCCATACATTGCTGTAGAAAATTCCGGTTGACTTGATCATATGTTTTTTCGAAGTCGAAAAAGAGAATCGTTGCGCTTATCCTCTTATTAGTAACATACCTTACCGATTCTGATAAAGTCATGACATTATCCAATATAAATCTTCCTTGGATAAATCACGTTTGATCTAGGTGAAAACAACTTTCTGTAACATTCCTCAGGTGGTTAGTTAGTGCTTTAGCCACAATCTTGTGAGTAAGAGTCAACAGTGTAATTGGTCTGTAATTTTTTATATCCGTAGGGTCTCCCTTCTTATACTGAAGAGTAACAATGCCTGTCGCCGACTCTAACCCCAAGCCTTTTTTCTGCCAGGCTTGATTGAGAAAGGATTCGCACTCTCCTCCTAGGATAGGCCAATACTCTATCCATAATTCTTTAGTTAATCCAAATCTTCCTGGGATAAATCACGTTTGATCTAGGTGAAAACAACTTTCTGTAACATTCCTCAGGCGGTTAGCTAGTGCTTTAGCCACAATCTTGTGAGTAAGAGTCAACTGTGTAATTGGTCTATAATTTTTTATATCCGTAGGGTCTCCCTTCTTATACTGAAGAGTAACAATGCCTGTCGCCGACTCTAACCCCAAGCCTTCTTTCTGCCAGGCTTGATTGAGAAAGGATTCGTACTCTCCTCCTAGGATAGGCCAATACTCTATCCAGAATTCTTTAGTTAATCCATCCCTAGCCGACGTCGTGTTAGGAGGCATAGATTGTAGTGTTTCCCTCAATTCATCCTGGGACAGAGGGGCGTCCACTTTTTCTGCGTGATCCCTTTTCAACGTTCGTTCGAGGTATGAAAGAAACTTATTTCTGACTTCCTTCAGCTGATGAGGAGTATGGTCACCTTCCCTAGAAGTGTATAATGCACTATAAAAGTCGTAGGCCACCGAGAGCATCCCTTCTGGATCCGAGACCATTCCTTGCGGACCTTCCAACTGCTCTATTAGCTTGTTTTTTCCTCTTGCTTTAATCTTTTGAAAGAAATACTTTGTCATTCTTTCCCCCTCTTCCCATTCTTTCACTCTCGCTCTCATCTGCAGACCCCTAGCCCTCCATCTCTCCCAGTCTTCCAATTCGTTTCTTGCTGCTTCTATTATTTTCTCATACATCTCCGAACGCGGGTTATTAATTAAATTCCTTTTTGCTATACGCAATGCCCTTTGTAGTTCCATTTCCCTTGCCGCCCATCTTGCTGCCAGCTGTCTGGATACTGCTGTCGTCGCAGCTGACAGGGCTTCTGTAAGGTCCGCAAATGATTGTGTGACCGGATTGTGTGTTAGGCACACTTTCGGAACAGCTTCCCTCAATTCCTTGGTTCTTAATAACGAATTATTAACCTTATAAAAACTCCTACCTCTGTGGACATGTTTATCCATAATAAATATGGGTTTATGATCTAGACACATACAGTATGGTAAGTCCCCTACTCCCACCGAGTGTACTGTTCCCACAGTGTCTTGTGATATGAGGAAGTAGTCAATCCTTGATGTTGAAATATGTTGACTACGATTCCCTTTATAATACGTGAACTGTTTTCCTTCAGGCTGTTGGAGTCTAAATGGGTCCACCAGGTCCCTAGCTGACATAAGATTATGAATAGGTAGGGCTTCATCCCACATAACTCCTTCGCCTAACCCTGACCTACCCCCTAGTAATCGGTCCCTACTAGGATCCAAAGTAGTGTTCCAATCCCCGACCAATATAAGGTGTCTTGATGGGTCTATGTGGTTTTGAAGTGAATCTATCATTTCCGCCCGTCGATGCCCTCCGTTAGGACAATAAACTGTAATGAGCGTAAATTGCTCATCCTGATAGGTAAAGTTGAGCTTTATCCACCGACCCTCGTTTTCATCTAGAATGACATCCTGAACTATTATTCTATCTGCTGCCAGCGATCTTTTATTCAGTAAAATTACTACTCCTGCTGAATGTGACCTAGCAGCCACCGCCCAAAAACTTGCCTTAACCCACCTTAATGTCTCACTATACGCTGCTGAATGTTTTGATGCTATGAGGAATCCGTAAGGTGAGTTTCCTGCAAACATAAAAAATCTGGAGGTGTCTTTCCAAACCAATTTGAGTACCTCATTACATTATCCCATTTATCTTTATTTTCCAAAATATGTACCATCCCATTAATGTTCCAAGACATGACCCTAAGGTCCGACTCCCTACGTTTTGAAGTTTCCACACTCCCTCTCTCAACCCTGCCTCCATGAGCTATATTGTCTTTTTGACTCTTTTCGAACTCCCTACTCAAGATCCTACCCGAGTCCACTCTACTGTTGTAGCCATAATGTCCATCTTTCCGTCAATGTAGTCCGGCTGCCATGCAAACATGTCGGCTTTGGTCACTATGACCACTCCCCTTGCCACCCATTCTGCCACCTCCAAACCTCCCAGCAGTCCATACGGAATCGTCTCCACCACCTGCCATGGCATCCAGATCAATCCCTCTTCCAGCACTGCCTTTTCCTGTAGCTCGATCATGGCTGGCCTGTAGTCCAGCATGTGCATTGTACCCTTCGTGTCTTCCCATTCTTCCCTATCATGGTTGAGGTCCCCAATGACGTGTGCCTGCCAGGGCAGATCCTTTGTGATACGTTCCTTCAATATGTCATGCTCGCAATGACTGTCCTTCGCTGTAATTAGTGTCAGAGACCTTTGGATGGCTACCTCCCAATCAGCATTGCCACTGTTCCATCTGTAAGGCAGGATGATTCTCTTACCTGGGTCTTGTCTTGCGTACAACTTGGCCGTTGCGTCGATGTCTGCATGTGGAGCATAGGCTATTTTCTTCAGATTTATAGTGTCTTCCTCCAATTTCCTGTTCTGATCCTTGGGAACCTCCACTTGTGCCTCCAAGATCGCTGCCTGCCTCTTTTCCTCCTTTATCTGTTCATCCACACCCAACACCTGAGCGGAATCTGACAAATCCTGGTCCCTGCAACCCGAATGCTCTGCTTCTTGTTGTTGAGCCCTTCGTTTCTGCTCGGCTCTCTTCAGACCCTGTGGCTGATAGGACTTCGACCAGATGAACTGCTTAGAGTAGCCCGCATTATGCACTGTGATGTCATTCTTGTCCATCCTAGCCTTCCATCCATATTGCGTGGCGTAGAACTCATTAACCTCCTGCTCATTCTTCAGTCTTTCGAATCTATTTTCTGTTGTAATGTCATCCCCCGCTGCTATGGCTTGTTTCAAATTGCGCAAATACTTGTGGTGTGCTAGACGAATCTCACATTCAGTGTGTCTCTCCCACTTCAACTTGTGAACCTCTTTAATCCACTGTGCCTGTGTCTCTGGTTCGTCCTCTTCTTCCTCCTCTTGTTCCTCCCATTCGTATCCCCCTTGTCACTGTCCCCATCCAATTCTGTACCTGAATCCTGTGCCATTGTCCCTGCCCCTTCAACATTCTCCCCACCCGAATCCTGTGCTGTGTTTTCAGTAACAGCATCAGGTAATGCGTTTGTAGAGTTGGTTCGACCTACTGCAGGCCCCTGTTTTGTTTTGAGGTCCGTTGAGGCTGTCGTTGACGTATCTTCTGAAGAGGTTGTAATTTCCATTTCTTCCCCTTGAGATCCTTGTTCCCCCTGGCTTTCTTCTTTCATATCAGCGTTGTGCTCCTGTTCCCCCCCTGAAGAAACTTCATTTGTTCCCTTCCTTGAATGTGTCCGCTTCGACCCTTGGTATGAGCTATCACCTTTCACTTATTCCCTGTCAGTGATTTTCCTCTTAAGAGAGGCTGATGATTCTCCTCCCTTCTCCTCGCTTCCAGACACCCTGTCTCCCTCATCCTCCACAGTCTCTTCCTCCCTCGTTCCCCTACTCCTTGAACCGGTCTTACTTCCCTGCGCATTATCGCCCCCCTCTTCATTCGAACCTCCCTTCGCCTTTGACCTCTGTGCCTCCTCTCTTGCTCTTCGGTTTTCCAAGAAGGCCTGCTCCGCTGCTTGGCCCACTTTGTGTAGCTCTGCCATGGTCTGTAATCTCTCCCTGTCATCCAACAACGAGGCATGATCTATCATAGGCTTAGTGATAAAGCCCACATCCCTATCCACCATCCGCTTTGCTCCCGTTTGCCGCCATCTACTATCGTATGGAGGGTAGATGTCCGGTTTCAATGTTGGTGCTCTACGCAGAACCCACACCCATCGTGGAATATCCAGGTTGTCATCAAAGATCCAGCCCCTGTATTCTGCTGAATTGATGAACCAGACCCCTGGTTTGTTGTCTGATTCGACCAGCATTGATTGCTTTAATTGTGGTCGACTACCTCCTGACCCCGACCCAGACTGCGGGCAGTGCATCCCCAAATATCCCCTGCCCCTGCACTTAGCAAAAAGGACTAGTTTTTGTGGAGATAAAGATCGTAATTCTTTCTGTTCTCCTGCGAAAAATCCAGACCTCTGGGAACTTTGGTGGAGATCCCGACTTAACTTCCAAACATGCCACCCGTGAATCATGATTCGGAGCAAGAAAATCCGGATTAGCAGGGAGCCACTCTATAATTGGGTTATTTGGGAATTCCTCTGTCAGACGTTGTTGGACAAAGCTATGCATACCCTCTGACAAGTTGTCAAACTGTACCCAAAAATGATCTCTGAGCATGGACTGCCTGTGTCTCGATGCTTCCGCCGGTGGTGGCTTCCATCCTTGAATGGTTACCACAGAGCCATGACATTAGAGAGAACCCAGAGATAGTAGAAACTGTGCGTACGCTGGATCCACACAAACTATCATTACCGTAAGTCTTCCTGTTTTGTGGTATGACATTTCTAGTTCCATGCCTGGGATGTGCTCCAGAACCCTGAGCCTCTCCATCACCCACTTTCTTTTTTCATCGAGGGATAGTTCCCTTTTTTTGCCCGAAAAATTAAATAAGACAGCATGGCGTGCATAAAGATCATGAAGTGACTGAAGATCCTGTTCCGGGTACTCCCATATGTCCACTTCCTCCTCCTTTCCATCCTGTCCCTTGACCACTTCCTTTGTGACTTTGACAGGCGCCGTGATTTGTGTCTTTTCCATCAGGAAATCTAGCGCTTTTTGTCCCAGCGCTCTAGATTGACTGACCCTGACGCCTGTGGTTGACGTACTTTGTGATTGCGCCTTCAGTTGTTCACTCTCCCTTCTGTCCCGTTCGGTCATAGCCCTTTGGGCAGCCATTACATAAGAGAACGACATTTTCAAAAATCGCTGCGCTAGCCTCGTACTCTACGGCTAGCCGTCAACCCTCCACTACGATCAACCCCTTACTCTCACCGTCTTGCCTTTTATGTCCTCCCCCACCTCGCCCAGTCTTTTATCCCTCCTAACCAACTTCCAACCCTTGCTTAGCCGCTTCTCTCCCCCCCCC